GCACTCGCTCGCATTGACAATCAGTCAATGCAATCGCGTACGTGTTGAAACAAAATCATTCACTATTGAGCACTAGAAAACGACGACGTGCTGTATCGACTCCTGGAGCTCTCATACCCTGACATCAGTTCACTCACCGGTTGGATTGAGGTTTTATACGGTGAGCCGACCGGGCTCCCCCCACCGGCAGCGACAGTGGCAGTGAAGAAGAAGCTCGCCATTTTTTCATCGGCGAGCTCCCTCAACTTGCTGAGCTGCGGCAACACAATGTCCTTCAGATCCGGCCTATCCTTCCGCCTCAATTCCGCACATTGGATCCCCAATTTCGCCACCGTCAGCGCCTCCTCCACGGGCCAGTCGGGCACGTCCGGGTCGAGCACGTCGGCGAAGTTCCCCTTCTCGATCGCTCGCTGGACGTAATGAGTCAGCCCCATCGGCGGCTTGGCCGTGATCAGTTGCAGCAGAATGATTCCGAATGAATAGATGTCTGATTTGGTTCCCAACATTCCGGTTTGTTGGTACTCCGGGTCGATGTAGCAGAATGTCCCCGCGGTCTGGGTCATCCTGTACTGCGTAATGCTGTTGGCCACCGACGGTGGGACGAGCCTCGCCAGCCCGACGTCGCTGATCTTGCTGACGAAGTAGCGGTCGAGGAGAATGTTTCCTGGCTTCAGATCCCTGTGAACTAACGGCTCCGGCTTTGTCTGGTGGAGGAAATGGAGGCCCGTTGCGATCTCTGCCGCGAATCTGAACCTCAGCTGCCACGACAGAGCCGGGGTGTTCCCTCGCCGGAACAGCCTATCTTCCAAGCTCCCGTTAGCCATGTACTCGTAGACCAAACATCCGTTCTCCGAGCAAGCTCCGATTAAGAGGACCATGTTGGGATGGCGGATTCGAGATAAAACGTCCACTTCCTGTTGGAATTGGGACCTTCCTTGGGCCGCATCGGGGCGGAGGGCCTTGATCGCCACATGAGTGTGATCGAGGTTGCAGCGGTAGACTGGACCGTAGCCTCCTTCGCCGATTTTGAGAGAGCTAGAAAAACCGTTGGTGGCTTCTTGAATCTCTTCGATTGTGTATTGGCGGCAGCAGAGGTCGCCGTAAGGCAGAGACTCTGTTTTTTTCTTTTCTTCAAAGTTTTTCCGATTCAGGGCTTCCTTCTCCGCGAGCTTTTGAGCAAACTCAGCAGCCTCCAGGGCCACCTTGCGTTTGGCTTTCTCCTCTTCGATGGCTGCCAATGCCGCTTCCTCTGCCGATTTTGCTGTCTCTAGCTTCTGCTCCTTCTCCATCTTCCATCTCTGAAGCTCCATTGCCTGGCCCAGAGAAATCAAGCGGAGTTCAGATACTGCCATACTGGCAACTTAATTGTCCTTAAATGCCTCAGTATCGTTCATCAAAATAGTGCATATTGAAATTGAAGCCAGGGCTCAACGTTTCTCCTTTATTGGTCTTGTTTACCTTTGATTTAGCAGTGAGCGCCTCTTTGCAAGCATTGTTGTACATCTCCATTGTTTGCTTCAGCTCCAGCCTCAGCCTCCTCACCTCAGACTCCGCATCCTCCTGGTTCATCAAATGAATGAATCAGCAGTAATACTTATCATTAGCATTAGAAATTGCACTTAAGGAACCTCCATCAATGAACACTCCACTCACCATGCCCTGGGAAGCAGAGGAAAGCCTGGCGCTATCAATGTCGGACGTCGAGAATTCACTGAACGCACCGAAATCAGTAGACGCTGTGTATGACGAAGCCACGCTTATAATGTCGGATTGGGAAACCGCCGAGAGCCTGGAGCTGACACCAAACTCGATGTTGTCGCCGTAGGAAGGGAAAAGGATTCTGTCCACGCTGCTCATCATTGCACCGCTGACAAACGAAATGTCCATATCTGCCACGCTCGAAGCTCTTCCCCCGCCGGACGACCTGCGTTTTCCCCATCACCAACCCAAAAGGTTAGATATTTATCCAGATAGCTCATTCAATGCATCAACAACAAGTTCAAATAAAACGCATCCAATCCAGGCTCTTACATCAACGAGGCGTCGTCGTCTATCATGCTGTTCAATGGCGAATAGTCTGCACAAAATGATATTACAAAATTAGCATGGCAGAATGTCATTATTATTACGATTCATTGAGATTCGGCCCTATGTCGCTAGTAGAATTGAGACATTAGTAGAATAGGAAAAAATGAGGGTAGGGTACCTACCCTTTCGATTGGACCTGGAGCCATCAACGAAAAAGTTGGGTCTGGAAGGCGGAGGCGCAGTGGCGTTTCTAATGGATTGGATCTTCCCCTTGCCTATTACATACACCGTGCAGTAATCGGGGATCATTTTCATAACATTGCTGGGCACATCTGTGAGCTTGAATCTCCTGATGATGCCGCCGCGAGATGGCGCTCCGAGTACAAGCACCTCAATCCCGTTGACAATGCAGTAGGTGTTGATTGCCTTTGGTATATCTGCGTCCTCCACAAGTACCTCAATCGCTTTTACCTATGCTCCACCATATCATGGAATGTAATTAAACCAAGAGATGCATGAATTTAGCCATGGATTTTAATCAACAGAGTTCTTGTAATGGAATGGAACCTCTTTCCGGGAGCAGAAGCAGCGGAATGGAAGGAAAAGCTCCTTGGTTGCATTGTCGAATTGGGACTGCTTCTTACCACTACCACCGTCTTTTGGATCGGAGATGGAACTAGGGGTTCCCCCTACCAACAAAGTTGAAAACAACGGAGTTCAGAATGACGGAATTGATGAAATGCAAAAAGATTTGTGTAGAAGGAAGGAAGGAAGGAAACATGGATTTGATTAGATTACATGGGTTGAGAGTGGATCCGGATGATGCTGAGGATGATTTTGGCCTGACATGAAGAAGAACGATAGAATCCCCTCTATTAACCAAATGCTCGACCGCCCATTTCAGGGCGAACTGGCTACCTTTGTCCTTGTCGACGGCGACGGCCACCAGTTGCTCTCTTTTTCTGTCCGGGGAGTTCCTCCTATTGGTGGTGGTGGTGGCCGCCGCCATTCCTGCCGGGAAGTTTTTTTTTCAGACGAAAAAATTTCCCCTTGGGAAATGGAGAACGGCCACCAGATGCTACGGAGGAAACCTCCTCTGGAGTTTATGATTAACCTGGGAGACGAAGAGGGCGGGAATGGTGGTCATGTTGATTCATGTGTTATATAACCGTGTTTACAGGGATGCATGCGAAAATTAATGACCTGGTGAAAATTTGGAGAGGAAAAGAAAAAAATTACCTGTGGGTCTGAAACTTGCTGGGTTTTAATGGAAAGGTGAAAATTTCGTTACATTACTATAAAATTATCATTTACTTTTACATGTATTCTATTAGGCTGAAAATTCAGTTATGTTGGGCGGGATTCAAGCTAAAATCACAATTGTTATCCACGAAGAAAATTGTGTAAAGTAAGTTTGTTTAGGGAATCTAAACTATTTACCACTTGTGAAATAGACCCGAATTTTTTATCATTTAAAGACACAAAATGGGATGGAGAAATTATGCGTAAGCAAATTAAATCACCTCATTCTGCATTTATTTGAATTAAAAGAGGGACAACTACTTTAAAATGATGCATCAATTCTGAGATGAAGCAAATAGACTTCATTGCCTCATCATCCAATCGAGCCCGGTCATTACGAAAAATCAGTCGTAATTATCTTATATGTAAAAGATGACTACGCTTTATTGGTCCAACATCTTTGTTAGTGTTTCATTCCTTGTCGTTTAGCCAATGTAGGTGTTCTGGTGGCTTTGCAATTCCTCCCATTTACTTATTGCTTATATAAAATAGATAAAAAACGGGTGAATTCCTTTCACCTTCTCCCGTCAAACTCCCTCCCTGACAAAGCCTTCTCTGACACTCTTCCCTCTTAAATCATATCTCACCTTCTTCCTTTCCTTTCCGTCGAGCGCCCTCCCTGACAAAACCTTTCCCCACACTCTTCCCTCTCCAATCACAGGAGGTCATATTACTCTTCCCAATCCCTATCCATCCCCTCTTCCTCTCAGTCTCATACTCTCAGCCCGCTGCCGCATTCGGCCGATCCAGGAACAGAGCCGACAAAAGAAAGGGAAAGTTTAGATATGTCGAGGATGATTGTGGGTTCTTCTATGTAAGTAATATTACAAAGCTAATTGATTTTCCATTCCCTGCTTTGCTCCTTTTAACAATCAATTTCCTATGCGAGTAGGAACAGAGGCTTGGTATTGAGAGCTTCGTCATAGAAGGTGGCAAACGATCTTAAACATATGTCCTCAACTTTGCCTACAAGTGGCACTGCAGCAGCGGGTCTTTCTCTCTTTCGACTCCAAACGAAAAGGTAGGAATCGGAGCAGCGGTGGGGATCAGAGTAGTTGCAACTAGGCTCCCTTTTGGTCTCTCTCCGAGCTTCAAATCCAACAATTTCTTGCCAAAAATGATTCATTGTTAGAGGTTCGACAGCAAGTCAGCAACCCTTGCACTCAGTTTTTCTTTAAAGCCTTTTGGTGATCTTTTAGTCTGTCATATCTCTCAGTTTCAGATCTGGTCTCCCCCTGCAAGGGTTTAATCCCACCATTGCGGCCACGCCAAGTTCATTGTCTGCTTTATTCTCCAGCCCAGTTTCTCTCCGCATGAACATATGGCAAAGCGCACGTTGATGAAGGAGATGGCGGTCAAAGAAGTGGGATTGGGTTCCTTAGCCAGTGTGGTAGTTGATTACTACCCTCCAACCAACTCACCTTCTCCAATGTCCCATTTTGTTTTTTATCCTTTCATTTTAGTGTACGTTTAAACTTGTCGGCATTGCCACTATAGACGAGAAGGAGGACCGCTTCACTTCCCTTTAAATGCTTCTTTTCCGTTGCTTCTGATCTTAGGTTCTCTTTTCAAATACTCATTTTCCATGTTATGAATTGCACGCTCTATCTTTTACCGGTTGAGGCAGACTACTGAGCGTGCGGCGTAGTTGTGGGTATTGATTCTAGTTTACCCATAACAACACCCTACCAATCCAATGAAGGATCCTATAGAATCGTCGTACTCAAAACACAGTACTAGTCACTAATCCATCAGGAAGTCGCACCAAAGAGTTACAACACCACCATTACTATCATCGCCAATCCCCCTGAATTCTCAACATCACTAGCCTAAAATTTTCTGTTAAGTACATTCCTATTTAGTTAAAGAACAGTATCAGATCTATAAGGTAACAATGCAGAGAAGAAGAAACAAAAGGAAAGAAAGTAAAAAAAAAAAAAAAAAAAACAGAACTGAAGGAAGATGACAGTTATTCATCACCAACATCAACCTCAAAGCTCGGGCTTAACCTTCACGTCTCCATTTGGCAATGAACTTTGTGCTTGAGCAAGGCGTTTCGATTCCTGCAACATGCAATGCAGCATCAAGATTTACACTTCTAGTAGCAAGGATAAAAGTTAACACACACATCCTGATATTCAATGGATGATACCCCCAGCGACATACTTTGAGACCAAGATATCACATGGAGCGGGACAACCTTATTGATGATGTACATGACATCCAAAGGTACAATAGAGCTGTAAAATCAGGAAAAAAAAGATGTGGACGTGAACTTACAGCAGCAGAAATCGCACGTATTTCCCTGTATGATTCAACTTCATCAGGAAAAGCCTGCTCTAGTTCTTCCAAGAGATTCTTACGTAGAGCCTGTCAACACAAACAAAGTTGTACGCGGATGAATCTATAACCATCCATATCAAACACTTTAAAGCTTCAACCATGCACCTCCCATAAAATGTGATGAGGGAAAAGACAGATGGAATAGTACCTTAAAGCCGTCAGTTTTCCCTTTGGTAACCTGGTTTTTGGCAATGCAGCTGTTTATGACATCTCGTGTGAACTCATCTGGATTTTTCCCATCATCAATCAAACTAACAAGCAAGGAAGATATAGTGACTTCATATTGGACACCAGTGAATAAAAGCTCCAGTACGGATCCACTAAAACGAAACAACTAGCAGAGAGACATACTTAAGAACCTCCATTGGAACCTGTATATTGCACTTCTCAGCCAATTTGTCCATATTATCTAGCTCGGTAATGAGGCCGTTGCTGCACAATTCAGAACCCTAAGTTAAAAATAAAGTAGCTCAATAGCCCAGGAAAACAGACCATTGCATCATACAGCACAGCACCAAAAGGAAAGCAAACAAAGGTTGAGATGAGTTACAGCCGCTGAAGTAGAGGAGCCTGGGAGGCAGCATTGAAGGAGGACACGGTGAGGTAAAGCTGGTGGATGAGGCCAAGATTCTTCTGGATGGAGTTTATAACCTGGTTTAGATTCTCCTTTGGATCATTGGCTGATGCATTTGCTGTAGCAGTATCATTCGCCTGTGCAGATAATGAGCCATTACCACCATTTCCTTCGGTCATGTTCTGCGACGAATCCATCTTTCTAATTTGTGCTTGCCAACAACTGGAGAAGACAAACCAAATATCACAATACCCAAACAGAACTTGATGAAGTTAACAAACCAAATAATCAAAATTAAAATCAATGCTTTCGAGAAATTGCAAGAAGTTCGTAATTCACAGATAAATCCCATGCTTACAGAATAAGTAGATTGGAAGAAGCCTAATTCAGAAACTTTCTTGTAAATCAATGACCTCAGATGGCTACTGAAGATGGTCAAATTATCATATGAATCCTTAAGTAGAATGCAATGAAATATCTGTAAAGGTTCTTTACCTGGAAATGGCATTCGATTGAGGAGTTAGTTTAGTAGCTCTTCACGTCTTTACCCGAGGGCTGCCCTAGTTATACTCGGAAGAGAAGCGAGACATGAATAAACGGGACCCTCAAATTGCTAGAATCCCCTCTATCTCCGTCACCGGATGTCAACTGGCTAGTAAGCGATAAGAACACGGAAATTTGGCTCCGTTGACTGTGGCGGGATTCAGGGGAACAGCAATCAATGGGCAGAAGCGAATTACGCCGTCGATAGAAGAAACGGAGGCAGAGGACGGAGAGCTAATCAGACCACCGGGGCGTTTTATTTCCACACTTTCCGGTGACCGAACTGTTTCCCAAACTTCCTTTCTTGGAGACGCTATTAGAACGGCATGATAAGCAAAATCGAAATAACTCGAATAAAGATTCGAGTCGACAGGTCGGAGAAAAGAAACGTCACTAATCTCCCTCTCTTCCTCTTTCTCTGGGTAAAGGAAAAGGGCTACTTCTATTTGGTTTTGGGCCGAGGCCCACACTTCTTTAGCGTCAATTGCATAAAATAAAGATCACCTAGTTTATTTTCTTTTTTTTTACCAAAATATGATCGCATTACAAAACCAACAATCACATGAGGTAGTTTGTATGCAACATAATTGGAAGTAGGGAATGGATTGCACCGAGTGAATTGGTGCATCGCTTTGTATTGAACTTTGATTCATTTGGTGTCAAATCACGAGCGGAGCTAGGATTTAGTTTTCGGGGGCCGGAATCCGGTTAACGTAAAGGACGAAAAATACTAATAAATAAATATTTAAAAAAATTAATTATACACACAATATTTTTCATTTTAAATTCAATATAAATTAGAATAATATGAAGAAATTAACAACACATTTTAATTTTGTGTGGTATATTTTGATTTCATAACTAAAAAGTTAAGCTCTACGGATATTATTATCCAAAAGTACTTATTATTTATCTGAAAGTAACCTTAGAATTGATAATTTTAATTGATATAATATTTAATTAAAATTTAATGAACCAAAATATGAGGGGGAAAGGAAATTGTATACCGTAACTTTAAATAGGGTGAAAGCTCAGGCACCCAATAGAGCACAAATATAGTTTCCTTCCACTGGAATACATCTGTTTTCCTTGTATAATTCCTCACGTCAGTGGTTATTTGTACATTCCTTTTAATTTATTAATTTATACGTATAGTCTCGAACTTTTTACACGTAACTTTCAAAATTCTCCGCCCTCCCCCCCCGGAGGAATAAGCTAGCTCCGCCCCTGTGTCAAATAACTCATACAAATGACTCAAATTAATGAACTCGATATGTAGAAGCACTAGCAGTGATAGACTTGTTGATTAATACTCTGTCGAGAGAGTAGTATTTGGTCGTTCAACATAGCGCCAAATTTATCTTTATATTATGTGTAGATTTGTCATAAAAAATTACTATATATGTCACGAAAACTCATATTTTAGCTACACACATGTATTTTATCTAAACTGTACCACACATACAATTTAATATTTAATGTTTGAATCAATGTTGCTTGAGTTCTGATTTCACAATTAACTACTTTCTATAAGATATAATAATTTGGTTTATTTTCTTGAATTGTATATAAGCATACACTTAGCAAAGATTTGAAAAGCAGAGCAATTTTCCATCGGTTAGCTAGCCTATTAAGTCTTCTGAAAAATAAAGTTTAATAAGTAATTTATATATTTTTATAACCTATAAAATGACTGGTAATCTTAAAATTGCAACACAAATTTCAATGCTTGAAATATTGCATATCGAATCGATAGTAAAAGGTAGAGTTTGATATTTGATGAGTTTGTACTCATTTTCCAGCAAACGATCTTTTATTGTTTCCGCCCAGCTACCTCTTTTATTCCCCATGGTTTTTTCTAACAATAATGAAATTGCAAGTAAACACTTTTCTTACCATTTGTTTTTTTTTATTTTTGTTGTCACACCAGAAAACAGAAAACAAAATGGCAAGTGAATGGGACATAAGAGAGAGTGAGAGGACACATTTAAAAAAGGGGGAAAATGAGGTAGTGTGAAATAATTGTCCTTCTGCTTTGCTTAGTGGGTATTCTTGGCCCTGTTGTGTTTTGATTTATTTTAGAAGATGATATTATATTTGATAGATTTTTTCCACCTTCAATTCAGGGGTCTTTTAAAAGTTGCGATTGTTTTGTTGAGATTATTATTATAATGTATTGTTTAGAATACATCATTTTTTAGTAGAAACAATACATGGATTACATCTGTGATGTGATAGAAACTATCACTCAAAATGAGTGATTATTATATCTCAACTTATAGTTGTGATTGCTGAGATATGTGAGTTTAGATTGTTTTGTCTCGGCTTTTAGCTTTTGTGACTTACACCATGCATCTAATCCGACAATACATATATATAATATTATACATGCATTCACAATAAAACATCTATTTAACAATCACAACTTCCAAACGACCCCATAAAATCCTAAACCAATATTATCATTTGGATGATTTTTTTTTCTTAATACGATTATGGTAATTTCTGAGATTTAAGGGTATTTAATAATGTCAATATTTTAGTGGTTTTTTATTTAAAGTTTGAATTGAAAGATCGTACGTACTGGCGGTTCGACCATAAAACTTCACACCATAGGCTAAATCGATACGTGATATTTAGCAATATGAAATGGTTGAACCACAGTTACATTATGATTTCAGTATAAAATACTACAATCATTTGGTTCAAACAATTCTTTTACGTGGTAACAAAAGTCTTAAGGCACATTTTGAACTAGCATAAGTCAGTAAGTGATAATGAGAATATGCGATCTCATTCAACCTAAAAGACACTTTGCAACTTCTATATTCTTAAAATAAATGTATTTTACTTATACCCTCGCTCATTCATCAACTTAATGAGTAACATATATTTCATGTAATATAATTTCTATAGGTTTTTATTTATTGAATTATTTCATGAAAAAAATATTTGTTGCATGAAAATTACTACATTATTGCTAGACATGTCTACGATCTGAGAATAATTTGGGAAGTCCATACACAACACATTGTCCAACTAACTATTAGCAACAATTTAGCATCATGTCCTATATATTTCAAATGAAGCAACTTCAGATTCATTACCAACTATGTGGTAAAAAAGAATGATTTCTATTGGGAAAAACTTAAAAGACTTACTAAACTCTGTGAGAGACATTTTCATTCATCTTAAGGGTTGATTATGTATGTATTATGAAAAACAACTCTAATATTCAACTATATGGTTTAATTAAGTAATGAATGACAATTAGTTATATTTATTTCTTTGTTCATTCAATAATTTTAAGTAATACCTATATTATATTTGTTTCTCTTTTCATGGAGGTCTAAACACAGTATGCATAGTTGAAACACTTTCAAATATGTTATGTGCATAACTAAGGTAGAAAACAATCATTTTATACATTTCAAATCATCTATTATATATCCATGGGTAAACACCAGAAAATAGCCAAAACTTTTAAGTTGTGGATAGAAATGGCCAAGACTATCCAAAATGCCATAAAATAGCCAAATCTTTTAATATGTTAGACAATTTGAGCCTTCCCTTAATTTTTACCGTTAACTTAGATGATGTGGGTGACACATCAACCCACTTTGAAGTAAAAACATTTATATCTTCCTCCGCCGTAGCTTAAGCTCCTCCTCTGCGACAAGTCCACCTTCACATCCGCCACTAAGTCGCTATCACCGCCATTCAATCATCCTCTTTGATTTTGTGGCCCTCACCAAGCCGCCATCCCACTGCTCCTCCACAGTGAGTCCACCTGTGCCTCCCCTTAAAGTCACCATCTCCTCCACAACCAATTTGCTTCCACCATCGGAAGCTTGATACCTGGCGATTGAAATTAGGGATTTTCTTCTCATTGTGAAATAGTGGTGTTAGCTTGATGGTCGATCATCAAAATTAGGGATTTACTTCTTATTAAAATTTATTTATGTACGAGTCGCCCTCATTTTAGCAACCATGAAAATTTCCTACCTTGGTTGGATGTTACGTTACCGCATCGGACCATGAAATTTTATTGAATAGTCCCACCATTGTTCTACCCAATCTTTCTTCATATATTCTAGTTAGTGCTTGGAGAATAGACGGAGAATAGACGCCTCTAAAGAAGAGTCGTCGCCTGGAGAAGATATTGCGGGTGCTTTCTAGAAGACAGAGATAGCCGGAGAATTCGACTACGGTGGTGGGAGAAGATGGCGAGGGATTCGGTCGGACACAAATCAAAATTTTAAAGGGGAATGTTTCTTTCATAATTAATTTTTGGTGGAAAATATGGGGTAACTGAATATGACATGCATGTTGCATCCTTCTTAATAAGTTTGCCTTTACACAAAACAATTCCGTTTCCGAAACGTTTCAGCAAACTCTTTGTAGCTACAAATATTAAGGGGTCGTTTGGAAGTTGTGATTTCAAGTAATATATTTAGTTAATACATGTAATGTCAATATTAAATTATTTTTTTTGTTAAATATGAGATAGAATACATGTATTATCTTTTTATCTAGGTCCTCGCAGTCTCCCTTCTCGACCTTGCTCCTAGGGGTGGAAATCGGTACAGTATCGGTATCCCAATACCAAATACTGAAATCCCTAATAACGAATTACACCTTAGAATCAATCACAATCTCAACCCCTAAATAATTTCGGTATCCCAATCTCAATCCCTACAAATTTCGGTATCCCAATCGGTATTATCAAATACGAACTTGATTACCTTTATAAAAATTAATTAAATATATAAATTAGATTTGATTGTTTAATATAGAACAAAGAGACTTAACCAAAGAGTTTTGAGTTTGGCTAGAGCGAGGATATAGATAAGGAGAATGAAGTAGAGGTGACATCTCAAGTTTTTGTTATTGGTAATTTTTAATTTGACGAATTGGAGGCTGAGAGAAGACTAATACTAGTGTTTGCTTTTTGGTGTTATCAAAATAACAATAGATTGGTTGTTGAGGGTAGTGTAGTAGTGAATGAGAGAGTCTAGTTGAGATGATAAAATACTCACTAACTTATATTTTGGTATTGTTCGGTATTTCGGTGTATATTGATCCCAATTCCGTAATCACATAATACCAAATAACAATTGAAATTGAATTCCAACTCCCAATAAAAAATACATGTATTCGGTAATACCAAATATAGACAAATTCGGTACGGTATTGGGTATATCCCATATACCGGTACCAAACTTCCAACCCTACCTGCTCCTCCCCATCAATAATGAAAAGGACTTTGCATATGTTGGTTCTTCTCCTAGTGTTGATGATTGATGATGACTTGTTGATGTTATTGTTGCTACTTGGTACTATTGTGATTTGTGAATTGTGGAGTTTATATTGTTGATTT